TGTTGCAGGATGTGGAGGTGATGTAGGGTAATGGTCTGAAAATTTTCTTAAAAAAGATAAAAGAAAGATTCATGGACAAGACCGCAACCGACATGGCCTTTGAGAAACTCACAACCGTAGGGCAGCAGCGCTGGACCTCTGTTGATGCGTTGTCCCGGGAGGTGGACAGACTTTTGAAGGTTCCTGGACTGAACATTCATGACAGGCAGATACAGTATATCTACTTCCGCGCACTACTTGAACCAATTAGACGCCAGTTGTCAAAGGGAAAGTCCGGGAAGTACAATTACCGGCAATTGAAAGATCTCGCCTACAGAAAAAAACAAATAACATCACAAATGAAAAGGGTCTTATGCAGGTGCAGTCAAGGGGGGACACCAGGGTGGGCCCAGTAAAAGGGTACTAATCAGACAAAAGAAAGAAGACCATCTCCTTGCATTGTTTGATTATGAGACTGTGGAGAGATGGCCCCTTGAGGAAAGTGAGGGAGGAGAACAGAACAACAGGGAATTTGTAAAGGAAGATGTCACCGTTGTGATGGCCAATATGGAGGCACCAATAATATAGGGGGGAAAAAGATGAAAAAGGTCAAAATATTTCCCAGCACATCGTGGCATAGCGTTTGGCTAGCTGCAAAAGAGAATGAGCATAAGTGTGGAACTGCAGGGCACATCATAGCATGGTGCTCCAAGATCAGACACCCGAAAGGGAGCAGCCAGTAGCAGCAGCATCCACTCCCGCTAAGCTCGAGGGTGCAGATGAGATGGTGCTGCGACCATTCTTCCACCCTCCAGCTCCTATGGCAGAGAATGGCTCTTCTTTGGTCCTTCACCCAGATTGCCTTGATCCAGTCTTGTGTTCAGGCACCCTGGGTGACTCCCCTGATGAATTTGGTAACGAACTAGTTGCATTAAACCACCAGAACCTTTCCCATATATCGGCCACAGGAAATAATAGAGTGGAACCGTTTCGCCTCAGTTGAATTTGGGCGCTCGAGTACTGGTACGCTTATCCTCCGAAAGTTGCGGCCGCATGAGGAGAGGTACTGGTGGTTCAACGAGTTGATGGGCTAAGACAGCAAAGAGTAAAGGTGAATTGGTCCAAGAGGTTAGTGAGATTGTGCGTTCTAGAATTGGTGTTTTGTCAACCCTCGGCCAATTAGATCCTACGTCTCAAAAAAGATCATACAAAAATTGCAGCTGGGGATGAAAATAAGACAATACCAATTACTTTTGTTCTAGCCGACAAAAGCTAGAGCTCGCAAACTCCTACTTCTCCTACAGCCACACCCGACCCATATAGAACATCCATAATATTTGGCAGCCGCAGCCAACAATAACTGCAGTTTAAAAATCCTCACAACCTGGCCCAGCCGCAGCTGGGCCCAATTTGAGCATACAAACCCAGGCCCGCCCGACCCCAGACCTTGAAGAAGAATTGCAGCTGGACCTGCCCTGACCCAGATTTATTTTTTGCCACCTGCCCCAACCCAGGCCCTTGAGCACAATCCCACCCCCCCATAGATGGTATTTTTTTCACTACCCTCACCCGCCCGTACCCTTTCCCGGTTTTTCAACACCCTACCCATGCATACTCAGTCTGCACTTTATCAGCCACAGGACCTCCTCCGTGCATGCACGGATTCGAACCGGTGCCCTCAGCCTCAAGAGCCGAGTCTCTTAACCACTACAGCCATGGCACGGTGTACAAAAGTGGATCCATGCCGGTCGTGATATCCACCCCAGCCCTGCATGGCTGTAGTGTCCTTCAACTCACACACACACACACACAACACCACACAAGGCATCTGCCACACAGGCAATAGTCGCACACTCCGCTCTCATCCAGCGCAACTGCTTATCCAACGGTTTTATCCACGGGCCACCACATCCAGGTATAATTTCCGGGCTGGTTACCCGGTTAGAGTACAGTCTGCACTTTATCAGCCACAGGACCTCCTCCGTGCACGCACCGATTCGAACCGGCGGACCATTCCCACCTGTACAATTGGTGGCCCTGACAATATAGAACCCTTGATCAACCACTGGAACTCAAGAGTACATGAATGACAAGTCTCGAGACAACTGCACATGCCCCATATGAGTGGGAGGAAAAAGCCATGAGACAAAATTCAAAGCATATCGAGATCACACCTCCAGCAAACCGGTGGTCTGTTAACAAAAAAAATCATGAAAACTAGGGGCCAGTGCCCCTATAGACATATATGCATGGGTGTAGACCCCCACATGCATTCATGCACATCTTTTTGGCGGGCGACCCGTGCCAAGTCTAGACCCGCCCATACCTGGCCATTTTCTTTTTTGTTTACAGAAGGCCACCGACAACTGGCCCATTTTTTTCACCACGATTGCCCCCAACCCGGCCCAGGGCCATCCTCCCATCACCTGGCCACACCTGGCCAGGTGGGACATGGGCTAGCCAGACCTGCTTGCAGCTGTCGGGTCTGGGCAGCTAGGCGTGGCTACGACCAGTCATTTGCAGGCTCTGACAAAAGCACAATTACTGTCTCCCAATATGTGGCTCGAGTTAAATGCTATTTTAAAACTTAAAAAGGCCAAAAAATTCGGCATGAGGTCACCTTCTTGGTGGAAAAGAACCTCCCACTCGACTTGATATGGCAATGGATTGGCATAAGGAAGCTGACCCAAAATCAAGTTTGAAGACAAAGTTGTCAAATTCAAAGACAGTAAGGCAGCGATGAGCATTTTTTTTTTGAAATGCCACTGCACCCAACCCACCCAAAATTTTCTTAGTACATGCAACCCTTAAAAAAAAAAAAAAAAAGAAGGTTTGAAGATGATCCAACCCACCCAAGCATTTTTTTGAATTTTTCCGCCCACGCCCAACCCACCCGCCACCCATAAAAAAGGTTCACCCAGACCCACCCGCACCCGGGATGTAGTATCTTTTCACCCGCAGCCGGCCGTGCCCGCTATTGTCTATCCCTTCGAACATTTACAGACAATAGGACATTATGACGTGACATGACAAAATCAAACATGAGAGAGAGAGAGAGAGAGAGAGAGAGAGAGAGAGAGAGAGAGAGAGAGAGAGAGAGCTCTGTCTCTCTCATCACAGGAATCGTCCACGTCTCTCTCTATCTGTCTCTCTCACAGGAATCGCCCACGTCACGGCCTCTCTCTCTCT